CTGGGCTCGCCATTTGGGCACGGAAAGCGGCTACGTGGTCCGTTGGGTCGGTGGAGCCGTCATATGCGTCCAAAGAGGGGAGCCGGAAATTCGGGGGAACCGTCTGATCTTGTATCTCGGGTGCGAACAGAGACCCTTGGTGTGCGTCCTCCCCGAGCTCTCCCTTTGACCTGCGAACCTCCTTCTCCACTTCATCGAGCCGCTAACTAACAAAGCATAGCTGGGCTCGCAGGGAGTCCGTTGAATCCGAAGATAATGCCTCGGGTTCCGGGCGACCGCTCGGGTTTTCCATCACTCGATCCCTGAGTGGGGTCGATCGGACCCGAGGCGAAGTGGGGAGCTTCGGAAGTGGCGTGCGGGCCCGAACGAGCAGCTCCTGTTGCCGTAGTGGTTGGATCACAGGCGGGTGCGCCGATTGAGAAACGAGCGGGATAATGGTTTGCACCATACCCGTCAGAGCTCGGACTTGATGAGCGAGGTCCAGAAAGGCTTCAGACGACACGGGCGACGGGTCGGCTGGGGCACCTTCAGGCAGCGACTGGCCCGGGTCGTTGAATATCCGCCAATAGCACTATGAGGTCATGATAGGGTGTTCATCTCGAGGTTCTCCACGCGGGGGGTGTCCCCCCAGAGCTCCGATCGGGTGTAACCCCTCTGTTGCGGGTTCATCTGAGTCGATCTGCCGATCCCTCGACATTTAGCCCCTCCTTCTAGCACCAAAATGTTTGTATAAACAACTTTAAGCCGTGGCCTCGGGGCCGACGCGGCTTGGTTCGGGTACGGATGATGGGGGATCTCTCTGGGACGTTCCTCGAGACTGCTGAGGTGGCCGATTACGGTGGTCCGATCGGGATGGGGTCGCTATTCCCTCCGGGAAAGAACTCCTCGCCTATGCGTATAGTGGGTGACCTCCGCCTTCGCACCTGCACAAAGGTCGGGTTGGGGAGCTCGGCCCGACCCCTCCGACGATCAAATTAGTGGATAGTCGCAGGGGTTTTTTTAGCTAAGCTCCATCCTCTTCCTCGGAGCGCGAGAGTTTTTATAGTGAGAATTATCGTTGCATGATGTGCCTGCCCATAGGGAGCATGATCGTATTTCTGATAGTGTCTGACATTGCTGCTGGCGTGGCGTGGGGGATCGAGCCTAAGCAGGATATTAATGTGCCTTGGTAGGTGTTTTGATCTGCTTTGACCAGGTGCCTCATCAGGTCAACAGAGACGTGAGGCGTCATCTCGGTGCAATCTGCAGTGTCCTATTGGAAGCATTTCGTCGAGCAATAAACAGTCATATACAGAAAAGGGTTCCACTGCCATATATATACCGATCAAATTCCTTCTCTCTTCCAAAGTGAAGTGTTAGTAATAATAATAATATGCTGCGCAGGGCCTCGAAGTTTAAAGATAAACGAAGCCGACCTCGGAAGCCCGCTCGAGATCGAACGCCAATCCCTCTTCTGGAGGAGCTCAAATCCACCGCCGACCCTGCCGCCGCCCTCCGCCGCCTCCAGGACGCCGACCCCGACGTCCTCAGCTACCCCGTCTGCTCCTCGCTCCTCTACCGCCTCGCGAAGGCGCGCCTTCTTCCGGAGCTCAACTCCCTCCTCGCCCTCCTCCGCGCCCACCGCATCCCCTGCAAGGAAGCCGCTTTCAACTCCCTAATCCGCCGCCTCGGCCGCGCTGGTCTCCCCGACAGGGCACTCGCCCTCTTCCTCGACCTTCCTTCCTTCGACTGCCCCTCCGCCCCCTCCCTCCAATCCCTCAACTCCGCGCTCGCCGCCCTCGTCGATAACCGCCGGCTCGACCAGGCCAGGGCCTTGCTCGGCCGGTGCGCAGACTTTGGCATCCGCCCCAATGCCGTCTCGTACAACATACTCCTGCATGGCTGCTGCGAGAACGAAGGATCGGGCAGCGCGCGTCTCCTGTTCGATGAAATGCTCGCGAGGAGAGTTCGGCCTACGGTCGTGAGTTACAATGTGCACATCGGCTACTCGTGTAGAAACGGCGACTCGGTAACCGGCATGAGATTAAAGGAGGAGATGGTGAAGAAGGGGATTCAGCCGAACGCCATCACCTATGCCTTGTTGATGGAAGGACTGTGCTCGGAGGGGAAGTATGATGCGGCGAGGAAGTTGATGTTCGACATGGAGTACCAGGGCTGCAAGACGACGCTGGTGAACTACGGCGTCCTGATGAGCGATCGCGGGAGGAGAGGTGATTTCGACAGGATAAGGGAGCTGCTAGCGGAGATGAATAGGAGGAAGCTGAAGCCCGACGTGGTGATCTACGGCATCTTGATCAACTACTTGTGCGTCGCAGGGAGAACCGCGGAAGCGTACAAGGTGTTGGTGGAGATGCAGATCAAAGGCTGCGAGCCAAATGCAGCGACGTACCGCATGATGGTGGATGGCTTCTGCAGGGCTGGGGAGTTTGAGAAGGCAGTGGGGGTCTTGAATGCGATGCTGGCGAGCAAGCATTCCCCCCGCGCCGAGAGCTTTAGGTGTTTGATACTGGGGCTGTGTGAGAGTGGGAAGCTGGAGGAGGCTTGCTTTGTTTTGGAGGAGATGATAAAAAGGAAGATGGGTTTGGATGTAGAGGGGTGGAAAGCTTTGGCTGAGGCCACCATAGGTGGCAATTGTGTTCTTGAGGATCAACTTCTGAGTCAGCTAATCTTTCAGTCTCCCTGATGAAGATTAAAAGTTGGAGTCATTGCTTATTATTCTTTGTATGGAACTTTCAGAGAGATGATGAGTAACAGACAACCACATAATATTATCATTTGATGTAAAATTGAGAGGAAGCAAATAGATTAGCTGGAATTTTGGCCTATATAACATAAATGCTGCTAATAGCACAACCATTTATCACTTGAAATTTCCCTTTCATTGTTACATTTTGGTTCCCTCTTGAAATCTTACACTTTACTACAGTCAAACTCTAAAAAGTGATGAGCAATTACACTGATATTTAGGTACAGTAACACCAAAATGTTCTCTTTGAAGCTTCAAATCTTCAATCCAATAGAAAGAGCTGAAAGGATGGTTTTATATATGTTCAGCATACCCAAAACTCTTGATAACTGCCAGAGCCTTTTTTTTCTGAATCATAAATCCTTCCTCCTGGTGGAAACATATGAACACGATTGGTTATGCATGCAAACAGCAAAAAGGTAATTAAGACTGGAAAAAGAAGTCTTTTAGGTAGGGTCGATGCTACACATAATACCAAGAATCGATAGACTATTACAATGAGTAATTATCTCAGTTTGGTTAAGTAGAATTGCGTCTAGCGCAATGGCAGAGGCACGTCATCGCACATTATTGGCCTTTACAAAGAAGCAACGGATAAATAGAACACTTGCTACATGCGTAGTTACGGCAGCATAGGAGCAAAGGCAGCATCATGTAAATATTTTAATCAAAAGACTGACATACCTCTTGACATCATCAATAGCAGAAAGGCAATAGCTCCGAAATCCTGATTTAGGCAAACTGAATTTTGTTTGTTTAACAGGTAATGCTTTCATTCCTGCTTCATCTATGCTTGTTTCAAGGCCACAAACATGGCACAGGTCCTCCAGCTCAGACTCCTAAATGATCAAAATACAGAGCATTAGATCTGCAGTTGAAACAATGGTTACCATTTTCGCCTTCCCTGGTTAATGGTAGTGTTTGATGTCACATTAATTTTGAATAGCCAACTTTACCAATTTTCTATTATTCTTATTTTTGCTATACTTAACAATCACATTCAATGGGAGAACAACCAAAGTACCTTGATCATCAGGATTTTTGATAGATGCATCAATGGGTAAGGATGAAGCTTGTACCCACTGTAATTGACATGTGAGATTGCTTGTGCACGAATCTGTATTAGAGAAGTATGCAAACTGTAACTTCTCCTGTAATTAGAAAACTTGCCAATGAAAAATAAACTGAAGTTACAAAAAACCAATCATAGGCATATTTAAGTCATGAAGTTTTACCTTAAGTCTTCAGAGCTATCATTACTAACCTTACATTGACATTCCTAATTAAACTTTAAAAATGCTATTTTCTTGAATCTCTTGAAGTAATTTCCCATGAAGTGAACAACTAGCTGAAATGCCCCAACTACCCAGGTCCGTGACATGAATCTTTTTACACCATTGAGCTCTATATAAGAATATCTTTAATTAAATTTAGTCATCGATACGTATTATCATTGCTTCTATTAAAGTTGTTCTCAAATCTCACTCTTCCTTTTTCGGACTAATTACATATTACCTCCTGTATTTAGACCATATTAGCATCATGGTCACTATACTTAAAAATTTATATTGAGATTCTTATAATTCTAAAAGTAAAACAAATAGCCCTAATTACCATAATGTCATCGACTACATTTATGGGAAACACACCACGTGCTAGATTGGCATGAAAATGATGGGCAAAAAGGTAATTTCAATATTGTCGGAACACCCTACCACCTGGTCCACCTCTCACTATGTCGTCGGGATGCTCAGGGCGTGGTCATCCTGCCTAGGTCTTGGCATAGTGAGAGCAACTGCCACCGAGATACTCAGGGCGTGATCGTCGTCCCGCCAAGCTCCTGGTGTCACAAGAGCGCGGCCCCTCCTCGCCACCAAGGTCACCCTCCTCGGGCCCCTCCTCGCAGTCGTGTAGCCTAGCACCCGCTACGACATCCCATTAGTGCCACCTTACGTGTCTGCGGCACCCACATGATCGGCAGCCAAGCCATATTCCTCCTTGCAACTTCCCTCTGCTTGTCCCTTTATATGACACTACTCTCGTGGCTCACCATTGGAGCTCATTGCCTTCATCCTCTTCTAGGTGGCCCAGCTCGTGTTGCTGTGGAAGGGGATGCATGGCATCAAATCGCAACAGAAGGCCAGGATGCCTAATGCTTGCTGACAAAAGGGAGAGTGCTACGGAAGCAGCGTTAGGATGCTCTCCCCCTTTCGTCAGCAAGCGTTGGGCATCCTAGCTTCTATAGCGATTTGATGTCATGCATCCCCTTCCATAGTAGCACAAGTTGGGCCACCTAGAAGAGGACGAAGGCGGTAAGCTCCAACGGCAAGGTGGTGAGCCATGGGAGCAGTGTCACGTAAGGGGATAAGCGGAAGGAAGCCGAGAGGAGATAGATAGCCTGGTCATCGATCCGAGTCTCGATGCTGAGCCAAGCATAGGCGACGAGTGTGCGGAGGAGGATGACGTGGGCGTTGCTGACGCCGAAGGTGGCGTCACGAGGACCAAGAATGAGATGTCATAGCGGATGCTAGGCTACATGGCTACAAGAAGGGGCTCAAGGATGACCTTGGTGGCAAGGAGGGGTCGCGCTCTTGCCACACCATGAGCCAGGCAAGACAACGACCACGCCCTGAGCATCACGATAGCAGTCGCTCTCGCTACGCTAGGAGCCAGGCAGGACGACGACCATGCCTTGAGCATCCAGGTGACGTAGCGAGAGGCGGACCAGATGGCAGGGCATCTCGACAATATTGAAATTACCTTTTTGCCAATCATTTTCGTGTCGATCCAGCACGTGGTGTCACATGTTGTGTTTTCCGTCAATGTAGCTGATGACATTAGGACAAATGAAACTATTTGTTTCGCTTTCATAATTATAGGAATTCCAATGTAATTTTTTTAGGTACGGAGACCGCGATGCTAATAGGGTCCAAGTACAAGAGATAATATGTAATTAGCCCTCCATTTCCCATACCACTAGTTCTAATCAATTTGTCTATGTATGTCATCTTAGACTATTCTTTCATTATATCCTCATTTGATTTTTTGATACCTAATTGTTCACAGAGAAAAACATTCCTCGTTCTTTTCTATTAACTCCACACATCCCCTCAAGAATCTCGACACATCCCAACTATTTAAACCATTTTTGTATATAAGTTTCTTGACTGTCCAACATTCTACTTCATGAAACATGACTAGCCATACAACTATTTTATAAAACTCCTTTTTTTAAGCTTAAGCACTCGAAATATAGAGGAAGGCTTGTACTTAAGTAACTTGCAAAATAACTGAAATTTTCCTTTTTCATATTTGATGAATTTATAATCGACCAATTATAAGAATATTTAAATCAACAAGTTTTATTCCAAGTCTTCAATGTTCGCATAATAAACCTTAGTTCACCAGCATTTCTAGAAAGAAAAAATATTCAAATATTATTTGTTTCAATATCTTGAAATGGTTTCCCAAGAAAGGTCATTTTGTAACTTTATCATAGCATAAGCCTCCCACCAATGAGGATATGCAACCTTACTCTTACAAGGAGAGAGATTCTGAAACTTAAACCCTAGATATCCAGATAGGAATGGAACACAACTTTATCATACCACTAATGCTCGCCTCCTTATCATAAAAAGAGAACAATTGAAAGATAAGGTAGCAACTAAAAGAAATATGGAGCAATGAAATATAATACTTTCGCTTCTTCCTATGTGTGTACTTTGATAGTCTTCTGGAAAAGAAACATAAAGCTGAAAATAAGAAAATAACTTCTCAAAAAACATATCTTTTCCCATGTTTTAATTAAAGGAGATATTCTGGAAAGTGTTTATGCACTTCAATAATTTTTTTAGTGCATGCTAAAGTGGTCTATTGCAAACCACAGAGAGTAAATGATAAAGACACAACTCTAGATGGCAGAACAGCAAGGCCTATAAAAACAGTGGATTACAAGAAAACAACCTCATCGAGAAAAGGTTCCACAAGACACAACTGCAGGTCTGATGCTTCAGCTTCCAGGCTACAAAAGAAACGCTTGTAGTTGCCCATTTGAGAGTACCTATGAGAAAGTGGAAAACAGAACAAGAGTAAAAATTATAATAAAAAGAAAAGGAAAAACATCAATCAAGCTACTGAAACATAGGGGAGCATCAATAATATAAGAATGAAGATCTAATGAGAAAGTAATATGACTTGTACCTAATTTTAAGCTAAGTTTACCTCATCAAAGCCCTCGCAAAGTGCATTTTCTTTGATTGAAGAATTGGAAGAGATAGTTGGCGATACCATAAAGAAAGTGAATCACCCTGTCGAACAAATAGAACAGCAGTGAAGTGGTCCTGTACTCTGATGAGTGCAACATTGACGTGGAAAAAGAAATGATATATACACGGAGAAGCCAGAAACTGACCATTTTTGGGATCTTACCCCCTAGATGCAGAAGTACAAAAAATGAGTAAAACTCAGCTTCATTCGTGTGTAGTGACCTCGATAATCTATTAAGATCGTACAACTTGAAAAGAGTAAGGAGGCATTTCATCAGTTGCTCAATGTTGAGGTGGCACAATGAAGATAAGTCAGACTTCCCCCAATGCATGGCAAGTCTATTGTGTGACACAATGTGAAACTTGACCTGAAAGAATTTTGTGGATATCAAATGATCAGCACATTCCTTATATGCTTAATGGAAGACTTTAAAGAAGATGACATGAAAAGTTTTAGTAGATAAACCTCGAATAAGTCATCAATTTCAAGTAAAAAAAGATGGCATTCCAAGAAGGAAACACTGATAAAAAGGTAAGGTTGAAAACAGATGTAAATATTTTTCTTGGTATTTTCATAAGTCATATTATCCTAACACAGTAAATCTTAGTTTCGTACAAGAAGGAAACATGGAAAAGTTATTGATTAGAACAAATGAGACATAAATAACAATGCATCATGTTCTCTATTAACGGCATACATTGCAGAACTTCAAAAGGCAAATTTCTGGTTTTAAAGAAGTTCACAAGTTCTGTTTAGCTATTCCAGATAAAGCATTATCAGATTAGCAATGACTAATGAATGGTTTCTGAGAACAGCCAGAAAAGCATCTGCTTATTTAGACTTAATTTAAATCACCTTAGTCCACTTTTTGATAGGACCTATATTGTTAACATGTTTGTTTAAATAACCAGAACGAAATTTGTAAATCAATGGCCAGATAAATAGTATTTATATTCTGTATCTTCACCAATGACCAACAGAACTGAAGATTCAAGATTAATAGCAGTGCTTCACCAAAAACCCTTGGAAACAACAGAAGAAATTGGCAAATGCATGAGAGATTTCAAATATTAACCCTGCAACTATAAGTACATGCATGTTGTAATGAACTTGTACCATTTCCTCATACATAGAAATTGCTTGATCATCAATAATGTTCTGCATACTGAGATCTTGTCGAATGGACCTTGTTCTATCAAAAACAAAGTCATGAACAACTTCAAATGGATGCTCTTCAGAGTTCACCAAGTTTATAAGATGTTTCAATGTTCTTTGTAACACTGGAGGAGACCGTATATCTGATTCCTGTATGTCTACAGTGGAGATAGTTCTGCAAAACTAAAATAATAAAAATGGTCAAAGATATCTACAAGAGACTTAAAGTTAGATTGCAAAAAATTATCAGATTTAGGAGAAAGAAAAGGTTGCAATTTCATCTAAAAGCCTAATATGCTGAACTGAGTCATGTGAATAAATAGATTGCTGTGCTTGGCAACAATGAAAACAGCAAATAGACTCATTACATAGATTACGAAGACCCCGATAGTTATATACACTGATTTTATAGTGTAAGCTGTACACACAAAGATGTCAAAGATACTATGGTACAAGAGAGAACAATGCTTAGAAGTCACTACATGTTGAGATTTAGTGAAAAATATATATCAAAAGGTTACTTCAAAATTTCTAAATTTCACTATCAACATCTTCATAATTATATCACAATTCATCTCCTAAGATCTGCAAAGAAGATAGTCGAGAAAAGTTCAAAATTTCTAACAATATTAAAGTTAGAAAGCCGAACCACTTTCTAATAACCGTTTGTAGTTTTCACTTGTTAGAAAACTGCAAATGAAATATACAGCAGATTCTAATCTTTACCTTCTTCACAGCAAGATGGGGAGAAGTTCTTGCAGGATTTCCATTCAATCTCTCAAACACTGACAAATCTCTGAGACTCTCGCGCTGAGCTCTCTCCTTCGCTACAATAGCAACAGGCTAAAAAATTTCAACTATTCGATTCAAACCCTCGGCGAAACAAAAGGTGGCTTCAAATCCAACAATAAATCGAGCAACAGATGAGGTGGACTGAGCCGCACCTGGGCACATATCGGGGCAGGTCCCGACCAAGTAGGGGGAATTTGGCGACCGGAGATTGTCGTCATCATCAAGGTGGGGATTACTCCTTTCCCGGAATGCTTCAGCGGAGGTTTCTTTAGGATCCCTGGCGGGACAAGATCTCATGGGTTTCCATATGGAAGACGAAGGATCTAGGGCTTTCCTCGCCGGCCGAAGCCCTAATCCTCGGCCTCTGCCCGTCCTCTCCTCCATGGCTTCCCCGTCCTTTTCTCCTCTCCGATTTCGGAATCCGATCAGCGCATCACAAATATACGGCGGAAACGTCTTCCCGATTAAAAGGTTACACGTGGCGGATTTAATCTCCGTTGATTTATCTCACCCATGTAACACTTAGGTCGCTTGCGGGTTGTGATCAGAACAGGAAACCATATCCGTAATGATCGGAACAGGAAACGATATCAGGTCGGAATCCTCCCCGAACTCGGAAACCCTAGTGATGTCTACATATACAGTAACGAAGTCCGCTCGCTCTCTTGCGGACGTCTCTCCGAACTCATAGAGAGCAGCATCGAGCCACCATGCTTCCCCCGGGCTTCACCTTCCAACCCAGCGACCAAGAGCTTGTCGTGTACCTCTGCGAGTGGATCCACCACATGCCTCTCTCCTGCAACGCCGTCGAGGAAGCCGACGTCTACTCCCAGGAGCCGGAGGCGCTCCTCCGCGGCCGGGAGAGGGCCTACTTCTTCACCACCCTCAGGACCTCCAGCTCCGGCTTGCGGGTGCAACGCCAGGCCGGAAACGGAACCTGGATGCTCAACACCAGCAAGACAGGCACGCCCGTCAACGTCGTCTGCGACAACGGAGATGAGGTCACCGTGGGGCACAAACGCAACCTGTCCTTTTACCTCGGCAAAGTCAAGAAGTGCACCGGATTCGTCATGGACGAGTACTTACTCTTTGCTCCACCCTATGATAACAACGGCACAAAGGTGATCGCCTTCAGCTCCTACTGACTGATTCTTCGTCTCCGTGTAGCTTGCGTCCTCTTTCTCTATTGCTGATTCATATATGTTGCAGGATCAGAAGGTGCTGTGCGTGATCAGGCAGAGCCCGCAAGCCATCAATAATGCAGCAAAAAGAAAAAGAGAAGCGTCGTCGCTTTCAGAAATCTCCTAAGCAGATGCTCGAACCGATTTTTCTCATTTTATTAACAGCATGTAATGTAGATAATAAAGACTGTCATATGTTTCTTATCATATCATACCACCGTATGTACCGATCTAATATACATCGATATGTTTCATTGTATTATGTATCAATACATTCGATATGATTCAATATGTATGTGTCGATAATTGATTGATATATTAGTACAGATCGATAATACGATGAATATTTATAAATAATTTATATATTTAATATGTTAATTTAAGAATAATTTTAAGTGACTCAAATCCTCCAATATAGTAATTATATTATTTTAAACAAATAAATAATTGAGATTAAAAATGTGCATGGATTATCTTTTTTTCTTTCATTCTTCCTCTTCTGACATCTTTTTTTGGAAAAAATTATGATGATCTTTATATATCAGAAATCAAATATTTCAAACTTTTAGTATTAAGAATGAAAAAGAAGCTTAACCTACTAATCTTTAAGAATTCGTGATGGGAATTGATACCATTAAAACTCCAATACTAGAGGATAGATAACATCCACACATGTTGTAACACTTTGATTTAGTTCTAAGTTGGAAGTAAGATGTAATATATGTTGTAATATTTCAATTTAGTTCCATGCTGAAAGTAGGCAAATATTTTGATTGATTTAATTCGATGGTCCGGTAACACGAGTTTAAATATTTTTTATTGGTAGTTCAAACTCGACTAAATTAGTGAGATAATTAACCTATTAGTAATTAAACATAATAATAAGAAGTTCAAGTAAGAGAAATCAGACGATGTTACAAAATAAGTTATTGGATTACAACACATCTAGTTAAGAAATCGAGTTTAAGTCTTATATTCGGTTAAAAGATTACATATTAGAGAAGGATCATTTATGAAAAAAATCTTAATCAATCAAGGCAAACATCAAGTTTATGAACCTAAACCTAGTTTGATCTTGTAAATTTGAACTTGAGTCAAGCTTAACCTAATTCTAATTATATTCTTTTTTTTTCTTATTTTTGAATGAAAAAAACAAAATAGATATTTTCATCTACCTTAATTTAAGCTTGTGAGGTCGCTATATATTAGCTTTTTAAATAGGTAAAAAATGATATATTAATTATTTATTATATTACTTAGCACAAACTCAAAGGATTTATAGTAAATCCATATGTGGGTAAATACGATTAATATTAAAAAGAAAAAAAATAGCAACACATGTTGGGGTAGGGAGAGGATAATCGAAACAAGAAGAAATTGTAGAAATTTACATCAATATTTATCAGTATTATACTTTTTTTTATTGATTCCCAAATTCAATAACTTGGATATTTTTTCTTATTACCTGGATATATAATATTTATTTAAATATTATTTATTCGATTCAGAATTAATCCGATCCCGAGAATAAATACCCAAATCAGATTTAGATTCGACTTCAAAGAAAAGTTGGCATTCAAATTATTGATCACATCATGGATCCACGGGCATTGATCAAATGGACGGTCCTGATAACAGTCTTGGATCATTAATTGACGATACTGCCATCCTTCTCTGTAGTAGTTAAACAACGACCCACTTGGTTGCGTCGGACAATCAAAGAGAACAACCTAAGGGATCGGTCGCGTCCATCATCGAACGGACGGCGCTGATCTCTTTGATTGTTCATTGAACGGCTGGAACGAGACGATTGAGGACCGAGTCTATATCTAACCGTTCGCCGATTGACGATCGGTTTCGCTTCCCCCATGGGAAGAATGGGTAGCGGAGAGCGAGCCATCCCTCCCTTTCCTCGACGTTGTCCGTGATGGGAGTCAAGTCAATCGTCGTTGTTCTCACAATCTGATCTCTCTTTGTGTGGATTTCTCTTTTTTCTTCTCTTCCCGTGGCTTAAGGTACAATAGATCTTAATTTATTCCCCTTGGTTACTTGTATTTTGTTGTATGGTTCCTGTTGTCAGGTAAAAGAGCTCGCCTTGGCTTCCCGCAAATCTTTTCTTTTGTTAATTGTCTTGCTGCTTTGATTTGGTGAGCGAGTTTTATGTTCGGAAATAGACAAGGAACTGAAGTATGATCGGATGATTAGAGCTGCTAGCATGTTCATGTTGCAAAATCTTGATCTAGGGTTTCTTTTCTTTAATTTTTATTTAGCTTTGCAAGTAGAGGGCTTTTTGTTACCCCTAGTATTTTTTGGTTATTTTGGGAGAAGTAGCTGGATTGCAATTCATAATTAATGATATAGCAAGAGTATGTCCTCCCCTTTTGGTTTAGTTTTAATGTTATAGTTCATTTTTTTTGTTGTTGGCAATTGAAGTTGGTATGTGCTGGTATAATGTTACGCCCTTTCTCGTGATCTTTAAACTGATATTTCTGTGATATAACATTTTTTTAAAATTCCTGCTACGCTTCTGTTAATAAGTAGATGAGGAACCAAAGATTGGATGATTAGAGATGCTAGTATGTTCATGTTGGAAAATCATGATCTAGGGTTGTTATTATGTAGCGTTTGGGATAGATAGATTTTTGTGACCCTGAAGCCTTTGTTGGTTATTTTGGGAGTAGTAGCTGGATTGATCTTGATGATTGATGGCTTAGCAAGAGTATGTCTTCCTATCTCTGGTTTAATTTTATTATTACACTTGATTTTATTGCTTTGTTGGCAATTGAAGTTGGAATATGCTGGTTAAATAATATGTCAAAATGCCGTTTACCCATGATTTCAAACTGATTTTTCTATGTAATGTATCACGAGTTCAGAAGCTTTGTTAATCTTCTGTCTTGTGTTTTCCGTTGGAAATAGTAGCTCCTTTGATATGTAAATTATGCCGAATATGATGGGTTAACAAATTTATATAATCTCCGGAGTGTTAATTGTGACTAGCTTTCAACTCTATTATGATTTGGCAGTGCATTGATTTCTGATAAAAGCAACTAGTTTTCTCCTTGGTAAATGAAGGCAAGTAATTCTGGATGAAATTAAGGAATCTACTTGTCATATTTCTTTATGCACACAACTGAAAGAAAAGCATATAATATTAACTCAATCTCAGTGTGCTGTTGATTGATGCTATGCATGAGGTTATTTTTAATTCACAATTCTGTTCAAATTGAAGTGAAGATTTTGTTGGAAATTGCTTGAGTTTCTTGCAGATCTTGGTTTAGATACTAGTGATAGGTTGAAGTAGAAGAGAGCGAAGGATGTCAAACAACAGGAGCACGCACTGGTGTTACCAGTGCAGGCAAAGAGTCCGACCTCGTGAGAGGGACATGCTCTGTCCCAATTGTGATTCTGGTTTTGTGATGGAGCTTGATGAGATGGAGGACACCATGAGCCACTTTGTTGGGATGGATCCTGATGCTGTTCATGAACCATGGATTAATATGATGGAGGCCATCTCTGTTATGATGAGGGAGGGGAGGACGGGAAGAAGACCTCACGGTGGGATCATGAGAAGAGCCAACATGAATTCAGGTTTTGGCATGGAATTTGGACCAGGACCTTGGTTGCTCTTTAGGGGACAGATCCCAGTTCATGCATTCGAGGACCATGGATTGGAAGTCCTCCTTGATGGGCATCATGGTGTTGGAGTTCGACGGACTGGCACGGCGGACTATTTTGTTGGTCCAGGGTTGGATGAACTGATTGAACAACTGATGCAGAATAACAGGCACGGACCACCACCTGCCTCACAATCATCTATTAATGCCATGCCCACCATAAAAATCAACCAGAGGCATCTACATGGAGACTCACACTGTCCCGTTTGTAAAGAGAGGTTTGAAATAGGGTCCGAGGCACGAGAGATGCCATGTAAGCATTTCTATCACTCTGAGTGCATCATCCCATGGTTAGAACAGCATAACTCATGTCCAGTTTGCCGTTGTGAGATGCCAACTCAGGGTTCTGGCAGTTGCAGCAGTTCAAGATCGAGTAATCAAAGTCCAGGTAGTAGTTTGAGAAACAGTGGACGTTCACGCAGGAGTCTATGGTCATACTTGTGGCCTTTTCGTTCTTCAAGTTCTAATTCTAGTTCTAGTTGAACCCAGTTGCTGTAAGCATTCTGCTACTAAATAAGTTTGGTTATTCTGGGTAGCTTTGATCTCTGTTAATCCATGGCCTTGTTATATTGTGTTGTATTTCTCAGCTTAATCGTTTGAAAAACTAGTGAATTTACTTGTTTAAAAAGATGTGTTTGCCCATCAAATAGTGGAGTGGCTGGTGTTTTTGTGCTTTATAACTTCTGATTAAATGGTGATTGTTTGCTCATTTCCACATCTTTTGTTCTTGTACCAAATTTATTGGGTGCTATTACACAGTTTGTTCTATGCTTTAGCTGTGCTATTACACAGTTTTGAAGAATAGAAAAAAATATTGCGAATGACTGTTTTATTGAAGTTGCATTTATTTTTGTTTTCTGCTTGCACCTTTGATCTGGGGCCCAGATCGTAGATGGTTGGTCAATTCATTTCAGTACATGCCTAACAAATTCTGAAGTTAAAGCTGTTCAAAGTGTTGCCCGAATCATCCATTGTTATTGCATGTCTTAAGTAGGCCGTGATGCCTCCTCTTTCATAACTTGCGCTTCAATTCGACAATACTTGTTATCTGTTTGTGGATCATAGGGCATCACACATTTATCAGGAAGGAAACTATGCTTTGCATTGGTTAGCTAATTTTGGTGGAATCAATCATTTTCATCATGAATCAGACAGAGGCTTTGATCTCCTCCCACTAATTTCACCTTTCATTAATTTTGCAACTGTTAGACAGTTGGTCGTCATCTATTCTTTGCTTTTACTGATGTGATGCAGTTCTTAGAATTCCTTCTCGGTCCTTTATGTGAGTTAAACTGAACTCTGGTTATCTATACTCAACCATGGTTACCAATGATTTTCAAAATATTAAAATTTAAATATCTTAAAGTCTCTCTGATACTTTCATTAAAAGACAAACTCTAAAAGCACAAAAACGCAAAAGTCTATGAAATATATAATAATTTCTTTATGGGTATTGATCTTATTTGAAGTTTCCATATTATAAATTACAACGCCATTTGTACAAGCTTTTGAGTTTTGCGCATATATAAATATATATATATATATATATATATATATATATATGTATATATATATATACATGTATATATATATGTACATGTATATATATATGTATACATATACATGTATATGTATATGTATACATATGTATATATTTATATATATATGTATATATATATATATATATATGATTCATGGACGTGGCAGGGATTTATTGTTTCCTTGTCTAGATCACTGGGTCAGGCCGACCTGCTCCAAAGCGAGCAACTAAAGTTGGGCTTTGACACGACGAAATACGGCCCAATTTTAATGCGGCGTTCAATATATAGTCCCACATTGATTAATTGTTTGTTAATAATGTACTCTATATAGGCAATGATCAGGCAAGCGGTTGTCTCTTCGGAGACATCCGATAAAATTGGAACGATACAGAGAAGATTAGCATGGCCCCTGCGCAAGGATGACACGCACAAATCGAGAAATGGTCCAAATTTTTTTTGTCATTTGATCTCTGGGCTCCGTGGTTCTTTGATTTCTCTGTGTTTTTGTTTCAGGAATGATTTGTTTGCTCTGTGATTACTTGGATCTTTCTCCTTGTCTTTGTTTGATTTGTTTATGGCTTTCAATCAGGAGTTTGTTTCTGATAGGGTCTCCTTTCCTTTGCGTAGGGTGGTTTTCGATCGGGTTTATCCTTCTGATTCGAACTCTCTTGTTTGGTTTGTTTGATACGTTTCAGGTTCTCACACCCGAAGAATATGTATGGATTCCAGGAACTCGCTCGTTAAATTAGTTGGTTTTTCATGCATAAATCTATATCTTGTCCAATTTATTTTCTCTCTTGCCCTGTCGGTTCTATCTCTTCTTCGTTTTCATTTTTATTTCGTTTGATTTGATTGTGTCTCTCAATCAGGTTCTTCTTTCTGAACCGATCTCCTTTTTCTTTTCCATCCCTTTATGTTCTCATTAGGTTTTTCCCCTGTGTTGTTCTTAATAGGTTTCTCGTTCCTAATTCGATCTCTTTTGGTTCTTTTGTTTGGTTTGTTTAGATCATTTTCAAGTTCTGAAACCCTAAGAACATGGATGGAATCTCAAATTTGCTGTTAGTTGTCTATTTACGTTGCATTTTTTGCCTAACAGAATGAAGAAGCTCGTCGATTGTGGTGGCTGACGCTTTACTCTTCCAACTTATTTGGCTTCTGGATATCACCTCCATTTTTTAGTCTTTCTTTGCTCAACCATGGACTATAAATATTCAACACAAGATAGAACTCTACTCTAAACTAGCCATCCCCTTTCGAATCACACACCATTGTGATGAATTCAGCAGTGAAAATAAAATATATATACTGATCAAATTCTGGGTAGTAATGCACACAGTTCCATTTATCATGAATGCGTCCAATATATATTTAATACATGAAACACATCAATTGATTCTTGTTATTTGCCTTGGCCACTTGCACTTTTTCATTCTAATATTAGGTGTTTCGGTATTCGGATTTTCTAGCATATGGGCATCATTGTTTAATTTTAACTAGATACAACCCTTCAGCAGCTGAGCAGTACTCACTTTCGATTTGTTATAACCTAATACTAAAGTGTGTTGAATTTCCTGCTTGTCTCGCTGCATATTTTTTGGCAAATGTGTTTTGATCTTGTAGTTTACTTACTATGAAGAGACTGGGATTTCTCCCACAATAACATGCTGGCATGCGACTTGAACTTGAGATGATGCCTTTCTATTGCTGTTGCAATTACAGCTTTTAATAAATTCAATTAGAGAAGCAACCTGGAATGGGTCTAGAAGTAAGTTCTGCACCAAGGGAAATGCTGGAGAAGAGGAATGGACCAAGGTTGATGATGTGTAAACTCCATTAGTGACAGTAAACCAACTACTTGCTTTACATAAGTTGCTTGGAAAAATGCAACTAAATATAAATGTTCTGAAGTTCATTATGATTATTAGCAGTAGGTACCAGTTTGACAGAATTATTGAAAATCATGTCTGGACTTTTCTTTGTACAGAATGTTGAACCTGCTACGCTGCATTGCTTGCATCAGTTTTCTCTCTAATTATAGACACTGACCATGTGGATAAGTATATTTTCGTGTATTTTACATGCAGTGAAAGCATATATAGGTGGCTTGCCTACTAAACCTTCTTGTTCACCATGAAAACTGTTCTTGCAATGTAACAAAGCAACATTTGCTTTAGGTTAAGCTGTCATTGTTTATTTCCTGTGTTTATCTAATGGGACTGAATGAATACAGGTGGTTCTAAATTAAGCTGTTCATAAATGTTCTTTCATTAGTGCGTGATGCATTGTAAAGACAATGATTTTTATTTGAATAGCAAGATTACTCGATAACATGTCCTCATGTTCTTTCTGCTTTTGTAGCTGAGAAGAAAAATATATTGGTCTTCACAGCCTGATTCTAAGATATCATTTATTCTATATTTCAGATTTACTTTTTTATGTCTGAGAGATTTTTGGTTTTGGTACTTTATGACCGAGTCATGGCTTTGCAACTGATCTATAAAAATATGAATTGTGCATTTTCAAAAAAGAAACTTAATGGAGCATGATGTTTTGAAGTGTTAATTTTTCTTGCCAGTTGAGTCCTAGGGTACATTGGGGTAGCTGCCATCCATTCATGATCCTCGATAGTGAATAATTTCCTTTACTATCGGCAGATTGTTCATAGTTACCAATAAGATCACACTTGTTCTTTGCCTTTGTTTTGCCCAATTATTGTTGAGCAAACAAACCCCGGAAACATGGAGTTGCTTCTCTTTGTCACTGACCTTAGGAATTATTCAGCAACATGAACGACCCCATATCTATTGCTTCACATTCATCCTCACCTGCGCTTCATATTATATATCTAATTTTGTGGAACTAATTGGATTCATGTACTACAGTACAGAGTGCCTTACGAAGATCCTCTCACCAATGTGAAGTAAATGAGAAACAAGTAGAAATTTGGAAGGCGATGCCATTATGATCCCTTGTAATAATTCTCATATAGTTATGGAATAACCACATTGGTATTAATTTCAAAGAATCCATATACTCGAGATGCCCATCTCATTTGTGTGTTTGATAGTGATGGAGTTTTGTGTCCTGCAGAGGACAAAATAAATGGATGAAATAGCTAATGAGAAAAGATGGAGTTATTCACCAAATAACCCAAGCATTTGAAGTAGTAAAGCCTATCGTGTTAGATATCTGTCTAAATAGATACTTGGAGTTCATCTATTAGTTCTTCAACTGGCATTTTCATTAACAAGAGGACTTGTGTCCCATATATGCTCTCTCATCCTGTTACTCCTCCAACACGATTCTATTAAAGAATACGAAATTCTTTGTGGACCGTGGAGGTGTTTGAATGAATGTTTAGAAAAAAGGGTGTAATACAAGCTTGGTACAGTTCATATGACATCTTTTACATTAGCGTATAGTGTTAGTAACACTAAAACATTATGGGTAATTAATATGAATAATATTCTTTTCTAAAGGAACAATGCTAAAGTTGTGTTATGTGAAAATTTTAAAAATTGGGCAAATATTGTGCTTCCCTATTATCTAGGTCAATCACAAGGACAAATAAATGGGCAGGTTGGAATCTAGAACTACATTTCCTACTGTTAATGGAGGAACAGAATATTAGAATAATAGACGCGAGGAATATTAGATTTTGGGTATTAACTTTCACTTGGCACATCACTGGGCCAGACCTAAGAGACATGCAAAGGCCGGTCACAAGTCAGGCGGGGCTAAACCAGGGTTTAAAGATGGTGGCGGCCAGGAAAATAATCCCACTCACGATCTATTTGATAACTTGCTCTACATAGGAGTCGACAAGATATCGAAATGTTTTCTTGGAAACATCCAATTAAATTGAAACGATATAGAAAATATTTGCATGGCTCCTGTTTGACACAAATATTTAGTTTCCCGCATTTGATCTTTCCTTGTTTTTGTTGTTTGATTGTCACTCAGGTGTTTCCTTCTCTTGTTTTCTCTTTCTGGGTTGATTTATTTCTCTTCTTATTTTGTTTGATTTTGTTTGTAATATTTCTTTATGATCTGATATTTTTCTTTTGGTTTAATTCGGTTGTGGTTCTCAATCAGGCTCTTCTTTCTGAATTGATCCTCGTTTCATCTTCTTTTTCTTTGGTTCTTAACATGGACCTTTTCCCCTCTGTGGTTCTCAAATCATGGTTTTGGTTTGTTATGATCATTTGCTGGTTCTGAAACCTTAAGAACATGGATGAAGCCCTGAATTATCTTGCTACTATATATTAGTTATCGTTGCATGTAAATGCACACATGTAAATGTACACATGGATGAAGAAGGTCGTCAGTTGTGGTGTTAGTTGCCAATTGCACTAGTCTTTTCGTTCTAGCATTAAAAAAAGGAAAGAGGATCAAAGAGTGTGATATGGCCTTTGTAGAAGAGGGAAAAGGGTGAAGATTTAAGAAGACAGTGATGTTGGACATCCCTTCTCGAAGCCTTGTTTGTCTATATAGACAAGAAGAATTCAGAGGTTGCAACTGAGAAAGAACCGAAATAAGATTCTAGATTCTTGTGAACTAGAAACATCTTAAATAGTTGGTCGTCGATTTTTAGGGAAGGAGCACATGGATGGAGTTTGGCTTCAACAGTTGTCCTTCTATTAGCAATAAATATTCTGTCAGAAGTAATGCCATTCATGAATTACTTGTTCTTCTGTCTTTTTTCTAACGTGGTACTATAGTCACAACCTGTTTGGTTGCATTCTTCAAAGGTAACTTTTTAGCTCTAGCATTTCATTTATCAGGGAAACGGACAAATAAAAAATGGATAGTTGATGCAAGACGAGATGATTAGATGAACGTAGAAACACAACTTGTACAGGGGTAACTTGATCATTTTCAGTTGAGCCCAAGTCCAATTTGTAAACGGATACAAAATCTGCAAGTCTAATTGGAATCAGCTTGACATCAGATATATTCACAGAGACGAGTTTAGTTATCTTACACATTAATGCAGTCACTTGTAGCAGGTTATATTAAGCCAAGGTATTGTCATGTTTGAGAATGTTTTTGGTTGATTTAATCAAGTCAAGTCCTTTTTTTTTTTTTTTTCATTTTTTACTAATATGTGGAATGGTAATTGGATTAGATTAGGTTTAGTTTTGTTAGTTGAAATGTTTAGGTTTCTAAAATTTGGAAATTTATTTGGAGTTGCTTGGTAATTGGCAACTATATCTTCTCTGAGTACTTTCAAGCTTTACTTGTTTTTTAATTTTTTTTTTTTGACTTCTATACTAATTTCAAGCAAAGTCTATCGTACCGAAGTGTACCGCTCGTATCGGGCGGTATGTATCGGTCCGACAGGTTATCGGTACACGGACCATCCGGTACCGTTACAATGCTACAGTGTTATACTGTAGCACTGCTACAGTATTAAAAATAAAAAAAATATTCGGTATACCATGGTGTACTGCTCGGTATGCCCTGATGTACCGCTCGGTACATCGGTACCGTACCATACCGAGCCCGGGTCGAAACGTTGGTACGGTACGGTACAGCGAACCTTGATTTCAAGTTCATACTCCCATGTTTTTCACTTGTGCATAAAACTCTGATGATATCATGTGGTTTGTTCTGGGCTTATGAGAAGTTTGTCAGTAAAAAGATATATGAGTTGATACTGTTGATGAGGTCTTCCTCTAAAGAATGAGCTCTTGGTATATGTTGAAATATACATACCTTTTCATAAGTGAGTTTTCGAAAGATGGCTGTTTAATCTAGTATTCGTTGTAAATTTTCATTCTTTTGTGATAGTAATACTAACCCATTTATTTATGTTTTGCCAATTTTCTTATGTGTGTTTCAAATGAATTCAGGTTAGTGCTGTTGCGAACATGGAAGCAAAGAAAAGTTCTTCTCATACTGTATTAAAGCAGTAATGGTTGCCCACATGAGATTCTCTGAGCAAGTACGTCAATCTCATTCCCTGTCTGCATTCACTTTCTTTGTATTGGTCGAGCAAGACAAACTTGGAAAGAGGAACTTGCAATTTAATTTCATCCATCAATAGTTGCCTATTCATGCAATAATGTGGAAGCCTTGATGCAATATGTAGAGTCAGAGTTAGCTGATTGCTTGCACATACTGGTTTCTGATTCAAATGCCTCCAAAATGTGTTATAGGACTTAATAATGTATGGTGATTAATACACATACATAAAAAATTGCATACTTTGTCACAGGCTTTGTGAAATCAAATAGACACTTGCATGAAGTTGTGTAGCTGAGCATGATGGATAAAAAGTTATAGGAGAGATGAGAAGAAGAAGAAGAAGAAGAGAGGGTAGGATAAGGATAACATGTCATTTGGATAACTTATGAGCATGATGGATAAAAAGGTATAGGAGAGATGAGAAGAACGAGAAGAAGAAGAGAGGGGTCGGAGAAGGATAACATGTCATTAGGATAACTTGTAATTTCATTAGAAGAACTCCACACACTTCCAGATTAGAGATTTCTCCTTTGTTTGTTACATAAGATATTTTGATTGCTAAGCCAGCTTAAACACTTGAAGGGGAAGAAAAGCATCAAAATTTGGGTGTAGGTGATCTTAGGTTGATAAATCAATCACATTCAAGGATGATGAAATTAGGAAAATTTAGTAAGGAATCACAATTATGGATCCAATTGATCATATAATGATATAGAGCAGAGTCACCAATTTTATGCAATTAAATCATAATTTCATTAAACTGTGATCATCAAATGGTTCAGACTAAAGTTGCCTTAGATTATATTACTGTTATGTGCATGATTTTTGTCCTAATTATGTGTAATAATTTAGGTCAAAATTCGACATGATTATAAGTACTAAAACCTACAATTAAATTGGTTGGGCCAGTTTTGAATTAATTGGGTGTAATCACATAATATTAGGATAGAGATCATAATAATATGGCCATTTTGGAAAAATCCTGAAACTTTACAATGCATATATTGTTCACTAACCAATTGTCCATCTACAACAGGAGCTGTCTGTCACTGAAACTGAAGATTACAGCCAATAACCCCTCTCACAGGTGAGATTATTCCACCAACTCTTAAAGATCTCTTAAAGGTTGGGTTCTAAAGAAATGAAAAGCAAATTTAACTTGTGTTAAGTTCCCAGAGCTGTAGTCTCTTATGAAGCACAGAGGCAGAGATGAGACTGGTACAGGGGATATTGATGGTGACATTTACTGCCCCCACCTCAAATGCAAGAGAGATTATTGTCAGAGTCATTATATGTTTATCTTTTGCAACCACCTGATGAACTCCATCAACCCTTTTCCTATCCTACATCCTCATCTCTCCACCATCTCCACCCTACTCCTTCCAGCCATGCATTAAACAGCCTTAACATCATCCATCCAACTCCTTTAAATCCCTCTTTATGAGAGAGAAGGAATCCGAGGTTTCTCATCGACTGGGAGCTGAACTCCTCCTTCTCACCTCACCCCTTCCAACCCGGCAGTGGAGCTTGATGGCTTGCAGCTGCCACAAGCCTCGTTACCAGAGGCTAAATAAGCTTCCTCCAGAGACAGAAGAGGATGAAATCAGTGGCGGATCCAAAGAGATGGCGGTGGTGTTCAAGAGGAGGCGGCACGGCTGGCTGAGGCTGAACAGAAGTGGGAGGTGGCGAAAGCCGAGGGTCCGGGTGGCCGGGCTGAGGAAGTTCCTGAGTAAGGCCACCGTAGTGGGGGCTGCAGTGAGGGTGTCAGTGGCCAAGGTGCTCAAGAGATTGAAGGAGGGAAGGCCTTATCTGGGGGAACTCTTTGCAGGTAACTACATGTTCATGCAAGTGAGCCCTTCACCAACAATTCCGTACGTGGAGAAGCCATTCTCGCTCGCTGAGCACCGGCACCGGCACCGACATCACCCACCGCCATCACATTTGATGCTCTAAACGTTTGCTTCTAGTCTTTCTTCTAACCAGAGGTATAATAAAGGTCTTGTCTCAGTGCTGCTGCTCTGTTGCTTTTGTATAATAATGATGGGCTTGTCCCAGAGGTAAAGTTATTGTGTCTCTGATCTCAGCTATCATGTTTTAGCCATCTATGTTGTCCAATTTTTGTTCTATCATGAGCATAATGATTTATTGTGACTGGTAATCTTTCTTCCTTAGTGGATGTCACATTTATTCTTTACAACAATAAAAAAAAAATATTTTATTATATTAAATTTTGTTTTCTTGTACAGCTATGACATTTTTTCTTCTTTTACTCTCTCTTTCTTTCTCTGTATGCCGTTCGATTGGAAAATGAAGTACGAAAGATCATTTACTTTTTGTCTGAACTTGTTTGTTAAACTGGCAAGAGTTTAGCAGCAAAAATGTCTTCTGGATGGAGCCAATCTGGATAAAGGAAATCAAACATGGATTGCACTGAAGCAGATAAAAGCTGACGAGAACATTCTCTGAGAAAAAGATCAGTTGTTTAGCGCATTACCCATCAGATAAATATATCCATGAAAAGCACAGAGGAGGTTGAGAGTTCTCAACTGCTGAGTACATCAATAGCACTGCAGCCCGGGGGCTTCAACAATCCTTTATCTAGAATCATGCCTCTTGTTCTCAGTGCTTCACTCCACATTTCATAATACGCAAATAAGTTAGAAAGCGTAACATAATAGCCTGTGTTTTCAGGTTCTAAGCAAAACAGTTTTCCAGCCACTGTTTTACCGATATCGAGATCGCCATGATCATGGCAGGCGCTTAACAGAGCACCCCATACTCCTGGTTTTGCTTCGACGGGCAATCTCTTTAAGTATTCGAAAGCCTCTCCAAGTCTTCCAGCTCGACCGAGCATATCAATCATACAAACATGGTGCTCAGCAGTGGGTTCAATCCCAAATTTCTCCGACATAGCGTCGTAGTACTTCCATCCTTCATCGACTAGTCCACAGTGGCTACAAGCTGATAAAAGAGCAATGAATGTGCTTTTGGTCGCCTTGACGCCTAAACCGCACATCCACGAGAAAAGCTCGATGGATCTTCTTCCTTGTCCATGAAACCCGTATGCTGAAATCATGGAGTTCCAAGAGGCAATAGATTTTTCATTAGAACTTGTGAAAATTCGAGTGGCGATATCTAGTCTTCCACACTTGCTGTACATATCGACAAGCGCTGACAGTATAAATGTGTTCCTTTGTAAGCAAAACCTGAACACATAGCCATTAACTTCCTTGCCATGGCTGAGATCTACTAACTGAGTGCAGGCACAGATAACTCCGACTATGGAAAATTCATTCGGTCGAAGGCCTTCCATATTCTGAAACAACTGCAAAGATTTGTCACCTTCCTTGTTCTGTGCAAAACCAGAGATCATGCAATTCCAGGAACACAAATTTCTGTCACCATTTAATTTGAACAGCGTCTCCGCGCTCTTGGAATCATTACAATGAAAATACATGGTCAGCAATGCATTCTTCACACGGATATCAAAATTTACCAGACTCTTCAGAGCTAAGCCATGAAGGCATTGGCCATAAGATAACAGTCCTAAGTTCCCACATGCTGATACAGCACTGACAAATGTGATGGAGTCAGGTATTGGAAGCAGTAAGGAGCACATAGAAGTGAGCATGCCAAGTGCCTCCTTGTAATAACCATTCTGCACACAGCCAACTATCATTGTATTCCATGAGACAATATCTGATATGGGTAGAAGTCTTTCAAATAGTAAGATGGAAGCACTTAGATCACCGCAATTAATATACATTAGCATAAGTGCATTCATAGCTGACATACTGATCATCAATCCATACCTGATGAGGCAAGCATGAAGTGCCTTCCCAAATCTAAGATCTTCAGCACCAGTGCAAGAAGGAAGAATTGCCAAGAAAGTAACCACACTGCATCTCAGTCCGCTTTGCAGCAATTCGCAGAACAAGGCTCGAGCCTCTTCCTTCGACGAATCATTTCGAGAGAATCCAAATATCATGGTGTTCCATGAAATTATATCCTTATTAGTCATCTTCCTGAATAGAAGGAATGAAGAGTTCAGATCACCACACTCTAAATACATGTCAAGCAAGGCATTTTCTACAGATGAATCTAAGGGATCTGTTTCCTTCTTGATGGCAAAAGCATGAATAGATTTCCCTTCACGAAGCAGGTTCAACTCACGACATGCTGGAATAATGGTAATTAGTGTAGTATCATCAGGCTGAATCATGTGTTTTGACTGCATCTCCCAAAAATGATTCAGGAATTCATCATATCTTCCATCGTCCAACAACCCACCAATCATCGCGTTCCATGAAACTACATTCTTATTTGCAAGTCCCTTAAACACTGCATCTGCTGCTTCCACATTTTCACATCTGAAATAAAATAAAATAAGGCAATTTGATAAAGAAGAATAAGTGTTTGCTTCATACCCCATTTTGATCACAAGAGCATGCACTGATTCCCCGTGACCCCAATACTCTTCCGCTAAAGAGCATGCCGTTACAGCACTCGAAAGGGTCACTGCATCTGCGTCGACATTTGAGCGTCGCATTTCCCTGAAATAATACACCGATCTCTCGGGAAAACCATTAAATGTGCATCCGCTGATCATAGAGTTCCATGAAGAGATATCCTTAACTTCCATCTCCTCGAAGACAAGCTCTGAAGAACTCATGTTGTCACACTTAGCATACATATCGATCAAAGCATTACAAAGATTACCATCCATGAGAAAATTTCTCTTCATTATAGTGCCATGAAGAGTTGTTCCATAATTCATGTAATGCATGCGAGAGGAAGCCATCAGCATGATCAGCAGTGTCGTCGAATCGAACTCACCAAAGGATTCCACCATTTCTTGGAAAAGCAGAAAAGAGCTTTTGTAATGACAATTAAGGACATAGGCACTAATAATCGCATTCCAAAATATGACGTCGCGCGCAGCGGTCTCATCGAAAATTGCCATGGCGGAGCGCAAATCCTGAGCTCTGGCATATGCAGTGAGGAGGGAGGTACGGGCAGCAAGGTCGGAGAGCGCATTGGCCTTAAGCGACAAGCAGTGGACGGAAGAAACAAGATCAGGCTCAACGAAAGTGCCCTTCAGGAAACTGAGAGCACGAAAGGCAAACATAGTTGTCTGAGACATTTCGTCGAGCAGGTAGTGGGTGGATAGCGAAGAGATGCTCGAGCCATTGGCGATGGGAGTTCGGAACAGGTACTTCGATCTGCGAGGTCCTGCTGTCGATGTTAGGCTTCTTGATGGGAGGATGGTGGGAAGGACAAACCTTCTCAGTCCTCTTATCATTCACCTCCTCTTCTTCTTCTTCTTCTCTTTCGACTGGCGCTTACAACGCTAAACTTTTACGAGGAGAATTCACTGGTGAGACCCTTTCGTCCAAACACGAGGAACACTTTCTTTATACGTCGGAGTGTTCGGTGATCAATCACACAAACCTCTGAAGTGAGATAGAGAACGTTCTCAGACGAACATTATTGGAGCTGACGTTGATTCCAAGTCATAAGACCTTATATTATTCTATTTTCGTATTATTACATGAATTAATTTGAGTTGCAGAACCTTTGTCTTCATACTATATTCTCTCTTCAGATAACATACTAACCATTCATCCCGAGAACTATTTTCTAATATCTTCTCATGCAAAAGCTCGAGTTACAGCCAAAGAAAAGAAGCCATCACTCTTTTTGTAAGTGATAATAGCAGTGTTTCCATAAAAGCAGTGAACTACTCAAAGCTCATATGCAACTGTACAAGCAGCTTCATCCCCATTCTTAGCCATCATTCCCCTTGGATCAGTCACTCCTGAAGCCCAATGACACCTGGTAAGATATGTCAAGAAATAACACACATTATGCCTCATGGTATACTGCCACAAGAACAGGATTAAACAAGGAACACAAGGAACAAGGAATGCACCAGACTTGTGGAAGAACAGTGGAATACTTACCACAGGCTACTCTTGCACCAGAATTTCCAGTGGTCTTGCTAAGTTCATGCCCACCTAAAACATGCCAAACTTAGCTACATGCGCCAAAGAACAGAATGATTACTGTCTATGATGTTATTACACAGAAAAGACAAGCAGATGGTTGTTCAGAAGATTTGATTACATTAGTCTTGCTTTTGTCCCCATAATTCACTACCAAGAGAATTTTCTCCAAGAGGAGAGGGTATGATGCATTCTTGAGGACAATTCAAATATCAGAGAGAGAAGCTCAGAGAAGTAGATTGTCAATCCATTGAATGGCAGAAGCCAGGAAGATAAATTGAAGATCTGATGCTTGAAACAGAAGGTAGGAAAACAAGTTTGGAAGCATAGAAACTACTTTGAAGTTATATATACACAGAAACCTTAGAATGGAATCGAAACTAGTTGAAGAAATTTAGCATTGTTCTAACTTTTTCTTTTTGTCTGATTAACTATCTCAATTTGGATTTATATCTCTTACAACATTTTGTCAGAAATTACACAGTGGAATTCACTTACTTTCACATTATATTAGTATCGTTGCAAAACAATATTGCTAATTGAGGACAAATCAAGGAACCGAATAGCACAAAGGGAAAAAGAATACCCCTTCCAAGATCATCAGGATCCGCATGCACAACAATAGCTCTGCCAATAATGGAGTCACATCCGACGAGTGCGATCTGCGTGCCAGGAAAGAAAAAAAAAGATTACAATTTGTGTAAGAGGTGAAGGAAAAAAAAACAGAATTAAAACTGTACTGTCACAACCTTGCTGTCAAACATGGTAAAATTGGCAGTGCCTGGAAATACACACAAAAAAGAAAGCAAAGCTATTAATAATTCAGTGACAAGCAGATGTCAGATGAACGACTACTGTAAACAACAAAGAATTTTGTCTCGGCTATGTCTCAAGCAAAGGTAGATAAAGAAACTACAACATCATAGTCATAACCAGGTGGAGAAAGAGAAAAAAAAATAGCACCATCGTCTCCAGCTATCACATTTCCAAGATCACCAATATGTCAGATGAACGACTACTGTAAACAACAAAGAATTTTGTCTCGACCATGTCTCAAGCAAAGGTAGCTAAAGAAACTACAACATCATAATCATAGCCAGGTGGAGAAAGAGTCTAGCACCATCATCTCCAGCTATCACATTTCCAAGATCACCAATATGACGGACCGGATCTTCGCGATCCCCGTGATCTTCTCCGGTTGGATTGAAGTGTGGCCCTGCTCATTGTGACGGCAAACAAAACACAGAAACATCATGGTTGTTCTTTCAGTCATTATCTCAAACGGATTGCGTCCGTTAAGATCCAAACCAAAGGACATGATTACCAGTGGACATGCAACCATTTGTGGTGTCACCGAATTCATGGACATGGAAGCCATGAAGTCCCGGCGAGAGGCCAGAGATGTTCCCGTTCACCATAGTTGGACCTCCAAACACATTGGATAAGGCATTAACATGAATTGAAAGAAAAAAGCGGATTATGAAGAATAACATGACTCGATAAACTGGCACTTAATCTACCATTTCCTTCTTGGCCGAAGTAGATAACACCACCGACACCCTCGGTGCCACCAAGCACAGCTACAGCCTTAACCATGTTCCTGCACATTAGACCCAGCCCAATATCAATTATCATTCTATGAGATCATACAGCTTACTACAAACTCCAGACTTTATGCAATGAAAATGAGATCAAAATCCTCTTACAGAACAAGATAATAACTTGAACATGCAGCTAACTAAAAAGAAAAAGACGTCGGTTTTTTAGCTTCCCCCAAAGAAAGAGCAGAGGATGGGGAAGAAGAGGATGACGTGTCTTTGTGCATGGCGTAGAAAGAAGACGTGTCTTCGTGCATGGCGTGTCAGAGACACCCCATCAAAATAGATGATTGTTAATGTTATAGGGATAGCTAATTCATATTAGGAATTTTGTCGAACACCTTACGTAAGAAAGTAATCGAACATGGCAGATGAGTGGTGGAAGCTCTTCGATGGGCAGTATGTTGTCTTCTTGAAGAGCTTATATGGTTTAAATTAAAGCAAACTCCTTAGCATAGGCGTATTAACGCTTATAGTTAGTTATTTTTAATTTTTATATATATTTTTTTAAATTATATATATATATATATATATATATATATATATATATATATATATATGAAAACGAGACATCTAACTTTGTTTTTCTTTGCTATGAAAATATCTATGTGTTGTCACATACAAAAAATAATATCAAAATAAGATTAAAAAAATATTTTTATAGTATTATTTTTATCGATATTAATTTTTTCTTCTATAATTTCTGTGATTTTCTTTGACTTCGGTATCCTCCTTAATGGTATGAGAAAACTTAAATTAAATTTTGAAGGCTTTACTTCGATTTGAGTTTGGGCTTGGCCGGCCCTTTGTTCTTCCCAACAAAATATTTCTCTCTTAAATTTTTTTCTTTTGAACGATGAGAATAACACTATAAAATTATCTTTTTAATTTTATTTTAATATTATTTTTTGTATGTGATAGGATGTCCGATATTTTTATCAATAAAATCGATAGCGTGAAGAGAAACGAGATTAAAATTTTCAGTTTCGTAAGTATCGAAACCTAGTAATATATACTTAGGCCCCTTAAATATATGTTACTGGGTTTACATTGAAAGTTTGCATATGGTTGATGATATAGTTGTAGTTGGTAAGAATATTAGCAAAACTGCAACACTTCATTATATTTTTTTTGTTCTGTTCTTCATGCATGTTTTGCATTTGGTTATGTGCTAATTGAAATAAGATTTTTTTTTCACTTGATGCTGTTCATGTTTGAGGACAAAAAGCAGCTGTTCTTCTCTAGAATATAAAATTACCATTCTGGTGGCTCCAGAGTCACTTTTGTACTCCATGACCTTTTGGTCTTCCACTAGATGTCTTGCTGGCCTTTTCTTGCAGCACTACTAATTGGCAACTCATGTGAGTAATTAATGATCAAATGACAATGATAATTACTCTGTTTGTTGGCCTTCTAAAGGACATTGAAGACATTGTCTGAGGTGAAACAAAAAAGAACTTACCAGTCATTCATGGTTGATTTGATGCTTCACTCCCTGACTTGATGTTGCATTGAACAATGAGTAACTATTGTGGTATTCTCTCATGATGAATGAGGAAAGTTAATCTTTCTAAGAAGGTTGGCTGCAGAGTCTCAAGAGGTGAAGCCATCATCACATGTGCAGTATAAGCCAAATAGCCCCATCTACCTTTCAAACCTCCACACTGTCCTTTTCCTATCATTGCAGACCCTCTGTTTCCTTGTTCACATGCAGAGGACATGTTAGAGCCACAGCAATGCAAAAACAAGCCTTCTTTTCTGCCACAGTTGTGTGCAGTGACTCATCTCCATCAGTTGACTGAGGTCTCAAGTGTGGATTGCCTAACCTTGATGACTGGCACCTCACTAAGGATTCACATCCTCACTGGTTGATTAGGGTCGTGTTGCATTGTGGATTGCATCACTGCTACTGGTTAATTCTGTAGCACAGAGAAGAAAGAGACTGTGCTAATGTTTCAGTCACAATCAGAGAAGAACATGGTGGATTGTATCAGCAGCAGGCAATGGAGTGCGTGAATGAAAGCAAAAAGAAATATGATCGGTGAATGATAACACATCATTTCACCACCTGTTTTCCAATAATTTATGCGGTCAATGAGATCAAATTCACGACAACCCACAAGCAGTATGAAAAGATGAACTCCACCACGAGTAATATAGTCTAAAATAATCACAGAGGCAGTGCAGGGAATCACTTGCCCGCTACATCCAACCACCACATGAGGAGGAGCCCAGCCACCATGGCCACGCTCACGCCGCCGAGGCTGCCCCTGGAGCGCGCCGCAGCCGACGTCAGGGCGGCGGAGCCGGAAGGAGCGGTGGCCGAATTGGGCTGCAGCTCGTCGGGGTTCGGCGGGCTCGGGCTGGATGGGATGGTGGGCAACGAGCTGGCCGGCGGCGCCGCGGCGCTGCCCCCGGGGGTGGGGAACACCGGCATTACGTCTGGAGCCAACGCCGGCGCAAGGGACGAGAATTTGGGGTCGTAAGGGAGGATACCCGGCGCCGCCGAGATGGTGGAGGTCTTCAGCTTGAGAGGGAAAGAGTGAGCAGGCCTGGGCTTCCCCACAACAAGCAGCAGCGCTGCAAAGGCTGAGAAGAGCAGTTTCCTGTGGTACAGTGTGGAAGAAACGGAGGCGAGGATGGTGCCGATGGCCATTGTAACTAAACCTGTGAGAGAGTGAGAGAAACAAGGTTTAGAAGAGGAGGAAGTGAGAGGAAGAAGAAGATGATGGAGGAGGCATGGCACAGGTTGGCATGGGGTGCCAGGGGACAAACTTGAGGCATCAAATAACATGGGTGTGTGGGGTGTGATGACACCAAGGAATTGGATTAAGGTGGGAAAACAGAACCAAAAAGGGGTGATGTGCCTCCATGATTGGGATTGATGAGTGATAAGACTGGTGATTCACAGGTCTGTCCATGTTAGGTTTCTTGTGGGCATCACTTCTGTTCTATCTCATTGTCACAGCTGAAAACATACCAAGTTACTCTCACCACTGCATTCCCTCAGTAGAAAACAGAGGGTAGAAGGTGAGGTTTGTACCTCTTTGGAGGATATCTATCTATCGCAGTTCATCAATGGACAGGGGATACCTGTGACTCACAATAAGTAGAGAATAGTGCCTGCATCTGACTGAGGTTGCCACCAGAAGCGTGTGACAAAGGACTTGGTGGTGATATCTGGTTAATTGCTGTGGACCCAAATGTTGGAAGGCCATTTGGATCTGTGGAGCTGTTCTTCCAAGATGGAAGTTGTAGGGTTCACAACTAGAAGATGAAAGGGTAAAGAAGGCTACAGAATGGATCCAAGTTGTGGGTTTCACAGGTAAAGCATGAGAGGATAGAAAAAGGCCAGAAGTAAAACATCAAATTAGAGTGTGTCCTCCTTGAAACATTCTTGCATAGTTGATATGTTTTTGAGTTCATATAAGAGTAGATTGTATATAATATAATATGTTTTTTTCTTGAAAAAAAAAAATAATAATAATAAAGTAATTCCAACTCCAAGTCACAGAAATAGCAGCAGTCTTATGTGTTAAGGAACAAAAATAGACATAATCCAACAAAAATAGCAGCGGTCAAATCTTGTTCTATATCCTCCTGTCATTACAACTGTCAAATCTTTCTTAAGGAAGCTGTTGATGTCTCTTCTTTCTCCCATCTCACCAACTTCTTCTTCGTTGCATTCTCTCTCGGACTCTTTACTCTTCCTCCCTCTCTCTCGTCCACGGCAAATGGGTTGCTGTAGCTCGAAGCAGGACGTGGCCACCGGAAACACGGTCAGCCTTCGTCGTCCTCTCCGGAAGGAATCGAGTGTGGCTTTTGACAGCGAGGCGTCCTCGACCACAACTGGCTCCACGGCCACCGACGACGGCTCCAAACGGCTACACGAAGTCAACGGCGAGGAGGCACAGCTCGCGTCCACGGAGTCACCGGACGGAGTCTTGTCGGCGGCAAAGCGAGACGCGAAGGATTTCGAGGTGTCGACTAACTCCGACGTCGATGCGGTGGGAACCGATCACGTAGAGATGGCTGCGGGCGTGCATAGAGGCGCTGACGCTTCTGAATCGAAGACCAGCGCGGATGAGACCTCCAAAGCGTTCCAGGAGAAAGAGGAGACGAGCACGAGAGGAGACGTCGACGACGGTACGCATCCCTACGATTTCATGAATCCTTGAGTCAGAACAAAGATGCTGAACGATCAAATTAATCTTATGATATTGTTTACGACTCGATATCAAGAACACAAACCAGCGTATCACGCGTCGAGAATCTAAAAAGAAAGCAGCATCAATAAATTGAAATGATGTCAGAATCATTAGACACGATAAATAATGCTGCAGCTGTTCATCACAACTTCTTCGATGAATATGACTTGTTTTGCAGGGGAGTCAGTGGGTGAACACTCTGCGGACTTCAAAGAGGCAATCTTTGTGGAGGAAGCAGAAGAGGCGGTGGCCATTTCAGAGAAGAACAGCTCGGAAAAAGCTCAGACTGTGAGCGAGTCATGATGTGTGGGGATTTCTCGATCTATTTTGTGTTTGCTACTCTTTCCATTTCATCAGAAATCAATGGACAAAAGATATGCATATATTTTAATTAGTTCGGCTACCGGAAAACATATTGCTAGAGAACATAATTCTGACCCCTACCAAGATACAGCACATGATAATTCTGACCCTATAAAAAATGTATACATATGAAAATAAAATATTTAATCTCATTTATCTTAACATCGTCGATTTTACCAATTGAAGATACAGCACGTGATAATTCGTACATGAATGACATGAAAATAATAAGCAAAAAGATAATTTTAATGATGATGACAAATGATTGTATCATGGGTGACTGTTGTGGTAGTGGTAAGTAAGAACGATATGATGGTCAATCTTTTCGATGTCAATCTAAACATCAACGACAATGAGGAAGAGGAGACAGAGCGGTGAAGCATCTGTGTTGGCGTTACACCACTTTGCTCTCCTCTTCCTCATCCAGTGCCACTCTACCTTCTCTTCCTCCTCAAACACCGCTCTGTATCTACGTCAACGCTTGAGGAGGCATGTGAGACATCTGCGTCGGCGCCACACCGCTTTGCCTCCTCTTTGTTCTCGTCGACCACCATATCATTTGGTGCGGCACCGCATTGCCTCTTTTGGGTTGACATCGTATTGCTTTGCCTCCTCTTCATTCTTGTCGATTACCACATTACTAGAAGAGGAAGTTGAGGAGCGGTGCGGCGCCGACGTAGATACCTCACCTCTCTCCTCTTTCTCCACGTCGTCAATGTTTGGATTGACATTGATAAGGTTGACCATCACATCGTTCTTGTTGATCACCAGCATTATTGAAATTATATTTTTATCCATCATTTTCATGTCATTCATGCATATGTTATCACATGTTGTATTTTCCATCAGTAAAATCAACAATGTTAAGGTAAATAAGATTAAATATTTTACTTTCAAAATTATAAAATTTTGAATATAATTTTTTTAAGTATAGGGATAATATGTAATTAGCTCTCATTTTTACAGTAACGTGGATAACCCAAATTGCAAATTGAATCCAACATTGACGACTCTATGTGGTTAGGTCAACCACAATCTGATCTAAGACCAATCTCGAGAGGTTTCAGCTAGACGTGCAAGTCTTCACGAGGTGCAGCGGAGTGGACAAGCAAAGCAATCTTTGTTCCTCTCATTCTTTAATCTGCAGCCTTTTCCACCGATACGAGATCGCAAATGAGTAATCCTAAGATAATGTTCGCCATTTGCATTCACTCTTTTCTCCCAACTGCTACCTAAAATTATGAAGCTAACACGATCAATCTTTTGGAGCACCTTTTGGCTTCACAAAGTGTGGAGGAAAAGCCATGGAATGTGTGCTACGTTGAGAGTGGTGGATCAACCACCATCGATCTCCATCGACATGAAGAGCGTCAAACCCAACTCCACTTGCTATAGCAAGCAAGCACTGCCAGTACTGCAAGTTTGACTCTTTGCTGCTCTTTTTACTCTTCGTCAAGAAAACAGGGTCTATAAACTCCATCGTAGCCTTAAGCATCTCACAGAGTGACAGCGAGAGGCCGGTGAGGGAATGGGCATGGATTCGTCCTTGGTGGTTGTGGTGCTTTGCGCCATGGCAGCTGCTTGTGAGGGCGATGAGGCTGTGGGAGCTTCGTTTGTGTTCGGTGACTCTCTCGTCGACGCCGGCAACAACAACTACCTTCCTTCGCTGTCCAAGGCCGACTTGCGACCGAACGGCATCGACTTCGCGGCCTCCGGTGGACAGCCCACCGGAAGGTTCACCAACGGGAGGACCATTGCAGACATCATTGGTATAAGCTTCCCTCTCATCTTGACCATTGCAGACATCACAATGCAGGGCATTGTGAACTGCAATCTTCCAGTGTAGGATTGCTTGGTGCTGCTGCACACCTTTGCAGTGTAACAGCAGCAACCTACATCTATTTCTTTAAAGAAAGGAACAGAAGCTGCAGTTGTGCATAAGCTCATTCAAAATCTTCATCTTAGTAGGTGGTAAAATGATACAACAGTGAGCCCATTCGATTAGAAGCCTTGTTTTTGTGGGCAGATTAAGCATACAAATTCTTGGATCTGCATCTGCATTTTCATATCCACTTTGTTCAAGTTTGTGTTCTACAGAGTCTTAAAAGCTCCTTTTGACTTTGACATACTGCAGGAGAGTTACTTGGGCAGAAAAGTTATGCCCAACCATTTTTAGCACCCAATACAACAGGATCAGTCATACTAAATGGAGTGAACTATGCATCTGGAGGTGCAGGAATTCTGAATGCGACAGGAAGAATATTTGTATGCTTCTCTTCTCCTTGCTCACTAGAAAAAAAATTATTTTCTTATTTATCAGAACTTTTAGGGCTAATTATTAGCTATATTTAGTAATCCGATTCTTATATTTTCAAAAGTTATATTGATATCTCTGTACTTACGAAAGTAAAACATAACGTCATTGCTCCAACAAAATCTCTATACCTTGACTTTTAATCTTATAAAATTATTTTTTTAATCCTATACTGAGATCTTAATATTTTATTTTCGTAAATATAGGTATCCCAATAAAACCGTTGAAAATGTAGAGATTAGAATACTAAATATAACTAATTATAGGAAGTAATATTAATTAGTTTAAATTTTAAAAAAAAACCAAAAATATCACAATATCATAATCTCCTTTGCATTTTTTAGGCTCGAATCCGTCACGATTATCATT